CCCTACATCGGCTGGCTTAGTCTGTGTACTCGCTTCTAAGCCTCCCTAATCTCTGTGTACAGGCTTGTTGAGGCACATATCCATTTTTTCCTCAGGAAAAATCAGGGAGTTGCATATTTAGGGCCAGCTTTAGACCTAATAAAAGAGCTTCTGAGTATTTCCTCACCTTTTTTTTTGGGAGCATGGATTCCAGGGGATCCAAGAAGAAAAGAGGAAGAAAGCCCAACTGCTTCGGGTTCTGTTCACAGCTGGGTCTGGTTCCTGCTGTAGGATTTCAGCTTAATTGATTTGACTATTTCCAACACAAAAATGTGTATTTCTGTGCTCATAATACACATAAATGTGTATTTCTGTGCTCCAAAGTCTTCTGGACTGACCTAAAAGTCCCTTCACAGGGGAATAATGAAAACGGTGGTGTCTGGAGGGAGAGCATCACTGTTTCACATCAGCACACTGCACACTTCCCACCCAGATGTCCCAATACCACTTGCATTGGGAAAAGACCCCAAATGTCCCTGCAGTGGGGTCTTTCAGCCCCTCTATTCCATTTTAGAAAGGACTGTACTGTGAGGGATGGAGTAGCAGTACTGTCACTGCACTTCTTTAAAACTTGTGGCTTTAGTTTAACTTCAAGTTTTGAGAAGGAAAAGAGAGCTGAAGTTCTCAAAGTCCCTGTATTAAGTGAACAACTCTATTTCAGATGATGCAGAAGCTGAGGGTTTAATGTCAGAACCGGGCTTAGGGTTATCTTGCTCTGGGGTTGTGGGTCAGGTGCTTTTTTTATTGTCAGCCTAATTTTGTAGTGGAATATGTAGGACAGGGGGGAAAAAATATCCAAGCACTACAGGGAGTTGATAGACGGTTCATGTTTTAGCTGAGACTCCAGTATGCATGGGGTTGGCTTCCTCAGCACTTTATCTCTGGGAAAATTGTAATATGTGGTGAACCTGGATATTAAAATGCATAGATTTTGCTGAAGGAGGGGTGCAGTGATTCAGTTTTGGAGGTGAGCACTGGTCCTCCTGGGCTGTATTCCCAGAGCAACTGCAACTGATTCCAGTGACCTTGGAGCAGTCAGCAGGAGCCTGGCTCTACCCTGGAGAGCGAATGTGTAAAAATGGCATTTCCTACTCAGCAGATCTGGTCTCTGTGTGCTCTCCAAGCCACATCTGCTGACTTTAGTGACAAAAATAAGTTTTTACTGCTTTCCTGCTCTGTGGGCACTTCAGAATCACGAGAGCTGGGGAAGCAGAAGCTGGATCCCGTGCCCCCTGGTAGGACTGATTACTGTGAATCCCTGGCAACAGTGAGGCTGTACTGGCATCTCTTGGCCTTGCCCAGCTTTCCTCTTAGTGCTAGCAGTGAGGAACTTGGAAGAAAGGAACCCGGGTTGATTCTCCTGATTGAGATTTAATTGTAGATGGAATTTATTGAGTTTGCAGTTGCAGGAAAAAGAAATCTGTTCATCCGTAACATGATTATATTTGAAATAAGTCATTGGCCACAAACTCCCTGATACCTTTTTTCAAAGTGGACTTGTTTTGAACAAATTTTCCTCTCGGTGCTGCTCTCACTTCCCCTGAATTAGCCTCAATGCTACTCCATTGCAGTGACTGCTCTTCAGTGGGAAGAGCAGGCCCCTTAAAACAGATGCTACCAGCTGGTGTAAAGGTGAATGGTGTGATGGGGATGTGCACTGATTGGTGTGCTGGATGTCCCAAATATTCACTTTGGGAAAGTTATCCAGCAGCAAAATTAACGGTAACTATTTTAAAATTGCCTTTACCTTCTGTGGCATGTCCTGACACACTTAGGAGAGCTGATACATCTCAGCACAGGTGCCAGGAGTAGCAGCATAAGATGCAACATTCTGATGCCAGGATGATTGTTTAGTTAAATTTATACAGACAAAATGTGCCTTCATATAAATTTTTATGTGACCCAGTCTCTTAATTAGGACGAACTTTTTGGTTTGTGCAATAAGGGTGTGACAGGAATATCACCTTTAAAGGAAAGCTGATGTATTATTACTTTGCACAACAGTCTCCTGTTATAATAATACACAGATTTTATAAGGGACTCTTACAAAAATTGGGTTATTTCCATTTTACAGAAGGGGAAGTAGAGGCAGAGTGTGGTGAAGCTCAGTTTTGAAAGTCTTCTAATGAGGCAGAGCTGGGAATGGGACATGATTCCGACTCTTTCCCAGCTACACTACCCGCATGGAAGAACAAACCAGCTTACATCTGAATTTAGTCCCTGAATTCACCTGAGGTGAGAGATCTTGAAGGACAAGACCAACAGAGGATTGCACAGAAATATCTCAAATCAGAGCCAGGGTAAGAAGGGAAAGGAATGGATGTTTCTTAACTTGCCGTGGGCCAGTTTTGCTTGGTTACTTATATGCTCTCTGGCCACAGATCTGAGTTAAAAATCAGTATTTCCAATTACTAAACCATAGAAAGGAATAACAAAAGAGTGCTCTCTGGCAATTTCTGATTTCTGCTTCTTCCATCACACCTCCTTTTTTAAGTCTGCAGATATTTTTGTTGATAACGCAGAAGCCTCTGATTTTGGCAGGTTATGCGGGGTAGAGAAACTTGCAGCGTACGGGGAATATGCAATTTTAGGCAGGGAAAAAACACAGATAACCAGCTATTTTGGTTACAGTGATTATCAGTGAGATATATAACCTTGAGAAGACACGATGCCAATCTGGGTTCAGAGTCAAGGGGGAAGTGAAAACCTCTCCAGTCTTTAAGTGCTCTGCACCCTTAGAGAACAGTAGAGCATCCCTTACACATGCTTTACATTTTAGATAACTTTTCTGTTAATTTTAAAGGTTAGATAGAAAAGGGGTTGAAAACAGTATCACGGAATCATGGACTGGTTTGGCTTGGAGGGGACCTTAGAGATCATCTCATTCCAAACCCCCTGCCATGGGCAGGGACATCTTCCACTAGAAAATCTGGATGCCAGGTCAACTGTTAGGGGTGAATGGTGGAGCTGCTGGAGCCAAGCCTCTGGCTCGAGCCTGGTGGACTCACTGCCCAGGGCTCTGGTTTCTGGTGGGAGATGTCTCTGTTGTCCTGCCCCTCTCCTTGCACATGGACGACTGAGCAGCTTGGGAATCAATCCCTGACTCGCCACAACGTCCAGCTGCATAAAAAATAAGCCCTCATTGATTTTGGTTTCCTGCACAATCTGGCTGCACCATTAACTTCAGAAGTGGCACCTCCATTCCCTCTGCTCAGCCAGAGCCCTTGGCCAAAATGAAACGGCCAGAACAGAAGATGAACCTGCTGAGAGTTTTAAGGGTCCCTAATTCAGGAGTCAAGGGTGTTCAAAATGGCCCCAAAAATGCAGCTCTTAGTTCTTCCTTCCCCCCTGCACCGTCTCCCTTAGAGGAGAGAGTAAACACCCTTTCTTTTCACATATTTGTATTTCATTTCAAAAGCTGGTGCAGCACTAAAAATATTGATTAATGAATAATTTCCTCAGATTTTACAACTCATAGAGGCAAAGCCAGAAGTGACTTTTCCCAACATTTTTTCTGACTATTTGCTCCATCAAACCTAACTCTGAAGTTCTTTCTTATGCCTTTTGCCAGTGATTGTCTTTACTGCTGATACAGGCACTTTGACACTTCATTTTCATCTCATGCAGAGCTTAGCAATATTACCCGGAAAAAAATTGCCCTGACCCGCAACAAATCTGTCTTTTGAAACTTTTAATATTGGATGCACAATGCTACAATCAAACGAATTGGGCTGGATCCAGTTTGGTTGAAATCCAGCAGAAAACACACTGTTTCTCTAAAATTGAAGAGGTAAAACCTTGGAGTGTGTTTAGCACAGAGAGCAAACCACTAATATAAAATGTTGTTTCTAGTAGCAGAGCAAACAGAAAAAATAATGAACAATTTCTTGATAAGAAAGATCTCATTTTCTTTGATCAATTATGTTGTTTGTTTAAAGAGCTGAGTGACACGTACCAGCAGGTTACATCTCCCTTTGTCTGGGGAAAAAAAAAAAAAAGGAGTTTATTTTGTAGCGTTTTATTTTAACTGGAGGATTCACTGATTTGCTTCCTGTGGCAGAGCACGTTCATAACAAAGCCAAGATTTCGAGTCACCTCTCCTATACCTTTCCTCTATTCCCTCCGAGCAATTCCACCCCCAAAATCTCACCTTAATGAAAGTTTGTTATTTTTGGTCTCTTCTCACCTGTCCCTGCCCACCACAAACGCTTTGCACCTGCTGCAGTCCCGCTCTGAATGAGTCACTGCCCTATAAAACCCTGTGTGTGGTGCTGAGACCTTGTGGTGCCTCTGACACCAGGCACAGGGGAAGCAAGAGGAAGCTTAGCTGGTCTTTTTTTGTGATTTTTGCAGTCAAGGTACGAATTGCTGAGCTGCTCTTTGACAAAGTGAGTTGATGTGTGAGCCAGGACCTGATGGTGTAAAGGTTTTCTTTTCCTGTTGTTAGAGGGTTTATGGCTGGGGACAAACACAGGTGGGAGGAGGAAAACACTATTAAAATTGTTTACTTTTCTTTCTCCTTGGTGCTTAGAACAAAGCAACAAAAAAAAAAAAAAAGGAAACTGAATAACTGAATTAAGCTCTCCTAATTCATGTGTGGGATGTTATTTAAGAAGACTTTCTCCCGTGCAGAGGGAGTGTTGGGGGAAGGTGACCTCTGCAGCCGAAAACACTGGAGGAGAATCTCTAATAGATGGAAAACTACTAAGGGTGCTGCAGGCCTTGTTTTCACAGCTCCTTGCAAGCAAAGAGAGGGGGGAACCCGCCGGGTCAGGCTGCGAGGAAGAGTTGGATGCGGGGTGGAGGGGGGGGGGGGGCTGAGGGCTTGGATGCTCCAAAGTCAGTGGAAAAGTAACCGTAAAAGCGGGCTGCGGGCGGCCTCCCCCGGGTGCTGCGGGCCGAGGGGAGCACGGAGCCCACCGTGGGCAGGCGGGGGCCGGCGGTCGGGCGGGGCGGACCAGCCCAGCACAGCCCCCGACACCGCCCGCCGGGTGGGCCGGGCTCCGCTCCGCCCGTGCGGCCGCGGGGCTGGGGCAGCGGCGCCGGGGAACCGCCGGGACCCAGGTGAGGCCGGGACACGCACGCACACCCCCCCGAACACAACCAGCATCCCACCCCCGGGGCGGCTTCGCCCCGTGTTCGCTCGTTTTTTTTTTAATTGGTTTTTATCGTTTCCCGGCGATGCTCGGCTGCCCGCGGGGCAGCGCATCCTCGGCGCGGCTCTTTGTTCCCGGCGAGCGGCTGGTCCCTGCAGCCCCGGGGGATGGGAATAGGGGGGAAAAAGGGAGAGCGGGAGCGGGGGGAGTGGCGGCGTCCTGCCGGGATGGGGGTCCCGGTGGGCTCCCTCGGAAAATCTTTGTGGGCTTGGGTGTGTGTGTTTTCTCCCCGGGGTGGTTTAGGGGTGACCGCTGCTGTCCCTCCGTCCTGCTGCGGGCCTGGGCTGGAGGGATCCCGGGGCGGTTGTTCCCCCTGGATCTCTTGCTGTGTGGGGAAAGGATGCGCTTCTGGGGCTGTAAACTCAGCTGGAAATGTGACTGAGGAGGACGGGGAGATGGATCTGTGCCCCGCAAGCAGGCGTGCTGGGTGTCATGGAGCCTTGAGCTAGCCCTGATCCCACTCCCTGGATCCCACGCAGGTCCTACCCAAGCTAAAAGGACCTGACAAGGTGTAGCTAATCTGCTCTTAAATCTTTACCTGCAGAGATTCATGAGCCTCCAGCTCTCCTGTGAGGTGTTGCTGTCTCTGTTTAGGTGAGGCACTGAAATTCCGGAGTGTTTCTTGCTGATTGGAATCTGAGTGTTATCCCTCTGCTCCCAGGCAGGCTGGAGAGCAGCGTTTCTGTCCTGCTGCTTGAAAATCGCTGCACCCTTTGGCCTCATTCTTAAGCCCCCCTTCCTCCTCCCGGTCTTAATCCCTCAGGAATTTGGTAGACCTTCGACTTCTGTGGTGCCGGGGACCTGGCACGGGTCAGAAGGCACGGAGAACTATGCAGCTTTTACTTACAAATCCGAGGAGGGATTTCCATAGGTGGTCTGTGTGCTGCTCTGAACAAAGCGAGGGATCGGCTCCGTGGTTGGGGGAATAATGCCTAAAACATGTCATGTCTCTGGCTCCACAAAGAACTACTGCTGGAATGCCGAGGCTGGAAGTGGAGGTGATGTATTATGTATTAAGGTGCCTCACTAGGACTGGTGGGAAGCTGGTCTTACAGAATATTAATATCTCATTTGTTTGCTTGTAAGGATCAGTCCTCAAGGGTAGGGGAGGATGTGCCCCTCTGATGTGTGCTTGTCTTGACATAATTTTTCTCACCTGACTTTGTGTTGGTGTAGAGTTGTGTCACTGCTGGGATTTCGCTGAGCTCCTGGAGGTGCCTTTTTTGGTGGAGTCTGTTTATCTAAAGTATGTGCTGCGAGAGCATCAGCTCTCCCAATTCACTCGGTTGAACTGGGCAAGGACACAATGCAGGATGAAATCAAGGCATTTTTCTGGGCTTTTGTGCGAAAGTAGGAGTTGGAGCTCTGCAGTGTATTATCTGCTGGCTTTTGTATTCAGCACAAGTAATGAGGCTTGGATTGCATACATTAGCACTGTGTAACGTAGCACTGGTGGCTGGCAGTTGCTGGAGTTGTACATTTTTGCTAAATCTTCACATGAAAAGATCTGTGGTGTTTTTTGTTTTTTTTTTGTCCGGTTCCCTTGTCGATTGTCAGGTGAATTGTGGAGCTGAGCACACCCAGGCAGAGCTGGCACCAAGCTCGTGCTTGGAGGCGGGAGAAGCTCTGTTCCAAGGCAAGACAGGGATTTGTCTGGGGCTGACCTGTTCATCTCCTGCACTCTGCTTTATGATGCATGCAGCCACTTCACCTTCCCAGTGTGGGAAAGGGATTGCTGGAATAGGGCTATAATTCAGTGAGTTAAAAACTTGATGCCTTTTTTTTTTGTTTTGTTTTCCTTCTGTTTCAACAATTCAGGGGAAAACACAGCCAAAACTTGCCAAAGGCAGAAAATAACAGCAAATGGGTTTTTTTGGGGGGGGGGGGCTAGTTAAGTAGACTTGACAGGGTGAAAGTCTGAAAAGCCCTCTGAGTGAGTAGCTACACACAACCGGGACAGAGGGGGAGAGTTTAATCCTCTGCAGTGTGTGCCTACAAACCACTGGTCCATGCAAGGAGCAGGTATTGAAGGAGAGACATCTGCTCTGTGCTGGTCCCCTGCAAACCTGCACTGTTGGAGTGATCATAACAGGCTGGGGGTTCCTTCTGAGCTGGCTTTTGTGTGGCTCCCCAAGAGCTGACCTCAGGCAAGCCCCTAGAATTCACAGAGGGGTTAATGATTTAATAGGTAGTGCAAGTGCTAATTGTGTGAAGCAGGGAAGCAGCCTGGTTCAGAAAGATCCAACTGAGTGTGCAGGGCTGCTTCAGCTGGTGACCAATTTATATTTATTGTCCCTCAGCTTCCTGACTTGCCCACAGTAGTAAATAGTTCTTATTTCGTTTCTGATGGAATTCTGGCCCCTGTTTCCAGCCTGGCAGTCCTTTGTGTTTCTTTCCAGCCTACCAGGTGTTAAAAGAAAACTTATTATTTTCCCTGCTAAAGATAAAGCTCCCTGGCTGCCTGCAGTCGTGCTGCCTTTGCGGCTGGGGGAACTGCATCCCCTGGGATTTGTTGTTATTAAGTGCAGGGGAAGTAGCTGGCACTGCCTCTCGCCCTCAGTGTGTGCTTCCTATTGGAAGCAAGGATTAGTTTTTCCACTGAGAGCTTGGCAGCTGCCCTCCAGGGCTTCTGCTTGTGGGATGCCAGGTGAAATCTGTGGACAAGGAGTTCCTGGGGCATGAAATATTGAGGTACCAGCTCCAGGCTGGTAACAAAAAAGTTTAAGCTTAGTACAGAGGGGGTGCTCGGTCAGGGCAGTGTGCTCCAGCCTGCTTTTAGTGCTTGGCTAAGGCTGGAGAGCAGGCTGACTATAAAAATAGCCAGATGGGAGGATAAATGTATAACTCAATGATGCTTGAGCAACAAAGTGCTCTGTAGCCAGATACCTGCTGGAGCCTGCATTGAGTGGAAGTGCTGCAGCAAGGTGTCAAACTCTGCTTAAGGAGATAGCCAGGTCACTGCTGTTCATACACTGCCTAATCCAGCCTCTTCCTAAAGCTAAGTAGATCTTAAGCTCTGACTAATCTTCTTTGAAGTGTGAACCTGTGCCATTATGCTGCAGCAAGCTCCTGCTTTCGCTGAATGTAAAGGTTTAGGTTAGCTTAGATCTACTTGTTGTGGATTTCCTGAGCAAATAACTCTCCAATATTATTTTTTTTTACCCCGTAGAAATGTAGGATTATGGCCAAAAGTGCTTTTCAGACTGAGAGATACAATATGAGGCTGCCCAGAGGACTGCAGGAATTATTGTATCAGGCTGGTACTGACTGCCCACGTATCTACTAGCCAGGAGGAGGAACGGCTCTTAACAGGGTTCTTTACATTTTAATTAATGGATGTCTAAAAGCCAGTGGTTTAGGGAGCAGCTTTCCCTCTTATTCACTGACACTTCTGATTCTAGTAAAGATGGAGTGAGCTTGTTGAAAAGAGATTAACATTTTAGTTCTGCTAACCACCTCCTGAATGTCTTGGGCTGTTGGAAAACCTGGAGCTGCAAACCTACTAATTATCTATACAGATGTGTATATACATATGCATAATGTGTGTGACTGCAAGAGAAATGCTGTGGCTGTTTTTCAAGTGCAGCTGGAGTTCTGTTTAGGTTTAACCACTGCTGAAAGCATTTGTGCAGCCTAAAGACTCCTGACTTCTCGAGAAACTGTATTTAGGGCCATACTCCTTTTGAAATAGAAAAAAACCCCCAACTTCTTGAGGTTTCAATATGTCTGATCTTAACAGGCATTTGCTAAAGAGGTGTGAGGTGAACATGATTTATATTCAGCAGCATGGCAAGGCAGGTGCCTGTAGTTGGGCCCTAACAGTTTAACTTGTGTAATATACCCTTAGTGCTTTTTAATTACAATATCTATAAAGAATTAGTGTGAAAGAAGAGCTAAATATTGTCAGTTTTCAACTATTTTTGGCAGGAAGGATAGAGGACATAGATGGGTGGCCACCCATCTTTCAGAGGAAGAAGATGCTAAAAATAAAGTGGAAGGTGTCTACACTGGTAAACAGCTTTTGGTGGCTTCTGCTTGTCCCTGAGCACCTGGTGCATGTGTGTGGCCTGTGATGGAGAATTAGTCCAGCAGCTTAAAATGCTGGTCCAGGGTTGCAGGGAGAGTGGAAAAAGTGACTCAGTGTGCCCTGAGGGCTCAGCCAGATGCTGGAGCCTGCAGTGGTTGACTCTGTGTTGCTGCACTCTGTGTGTGCAAATGCAAGTGATACTTGTCTACAATCTGTTTGGAGGGGGAAGTGAGGAGTGTGGCAAGCTGGGGGACCTATCCTGGTGCCCTTGAGCAGGACTGCACAGGGTAATGTTTGCTCTTCTTTGGAAGGCTGAGAGGCGACTGACAACCCCAGCAACTTTCCCGGATAATATTTGTTATTCCTGCAGTTCGCTTGTGAGTTATAAAATCATCTTATTCCATGGGCAGGGACACCTTCCACTAGACCAGGTTGCTCCAAGCCCTGTCCAGCCTGGCCTTGAACACTCCAGGGATGGGGCAGCCCCAGCTTCTCTGGGCAACCTGTGCCAGGGCCTCACCACCCTCCCCTCACAGGCAGGGACTTATTTCTAATGTTTAATCTAAACCTGCCCTCCTTCAGCTTAAGGTCATTCCCCCTTGTCCAAAGTCCCTCTCCAGCTCTCCTGGAGCCCCTTTAGGCACCAGAAGGTGCTCTAAGGTTTCCCCAGAGCCTTCTCTTCTACAGCCCCAACTTTCTCAGCCTGTCTCCATAGGAGAGGTGTTCCAGCTCTGTCATCAACTTAGTGGCTCTTCTCTGGGCTCATTCTAACAGGTCAATGTTCCTCATGTTGGGGCCCCCAGATTTGGATGCAGGAGTGGAAGAATGTACTAGAGAAAGCAAGGGAAGCTGTTGATGGTTGGAGGCTTCTTGCAGTAGGGCTTTACTATTGACAAGCTGCCTCCAGGAGCTGGAAGGAGGAGGAGGGACCACACCAGCTCTGCTGTGTGATGGAGGGTTGCCTGCTGTGTGCCTGAGACTGGTGTGACCAGCTGTCCTGCATGGGATGAGTGGGGCCATGGCTGGGATGGTCTCTGCTGTGGGGTGGTGGTGCAGCAAGCCCAGGACTGAGGGGCACCTGCCTGAGGGAGGTGTCTGGGAGCAGGCCTGGTCTGTCTGTCCTGCTGCTGGAGCTGTGTGAGTGGAGGCAGCAGAGCCTGCCAAGAGTAGGCTGTCAGCTGGCTGGATCACTGCTGGGATCCTGGTTCAGTGCTCTCCTGGAAACTCTTGACTTGCACAGTGATTATAGGCATGAAACTTTCTGGAAGTGCCTCCATGGTGCAGTGCAGCACAGGCACTGTGCTAATGCAGCAGTGCTGCTGTTCTGGGCTGTGGTTTCCTCTGTGGGGTCAAGGGCCTCAGACAGGACCTGGCACTGGTGCAGCCCTAAAGCCTCTTGTGGTGGCTCCAGTCCTGAGTTGTGCTTTACAGACCCATCTTGTTCTCTGTGCAAGTTCCTTGGTTTCCTCCTGTGTCAGGGCCATAACAAGCCTGGACTTCATGGCCCTGACAAACATAATTTTTGGACTTGAAAAAGGACACACAAGTTGATCCTCACCATTGCTTACAAGTCTGATGCCTGCTGGGTGGAGCATAGCACTCTATTGCTGGGATGAGAGCTAGGCAAGGTCTGTCTTGGGCTTCAGATCAAGGTTTGGTTTTGCCTGTCATCTTCAGATAGAGTAGACTAAGAACCATAAAACAGATGGAGGAAATAATTGCTTGGGATATATAGGTGTCTGCTCACAACTGGCCAATTCTTGACACTTGTCACCCAGTTATTTAAGGCCCTGGGTCAGTGGGTGGTTATGTGAGTATATGTAATCTTGGTTTCCTTTTGCCTTTCCAGGCCTTGCACTCTGGATTTGTCAGCCTTGCAGGCTTCTGGTCACATCTCTTCTCGGCCATGGGGAGATCAGTAGGATTTAACATCTTTGTGGTCACCTGCAGCATCCTGCTCTTGTCCTCCAGCCTGCCATGCCTTGCATCTCAGCCTCTGGAGGAGGGGGACACGACCAAGATCCAGCATGGCCCCTGGGCAGGGAATGGGCTGGAAGATGAAAGTATTGGCATGGTGGACTTGAAAAATACCTTGAGCCCTTCTGAGCAGACCGTTTCTGAAGAGCCATGTGGAGTGTCAGCAGAGCCGTCTGGGACACCCTTGAATGAAGCTTCCACTGCAGAAGAAATGCTCCCTGTGAGCCCCAGCCATGTCAGCCCCAGCACCCAAGGCCTGGGTGACCACACCTCTGCTGGGGCAGTGGCTGCTGTGAGTGGGGAGGAGCTTGGTCCCACGAAGTCAGAGCTGGATGAGGATGATGCCCTCAAGGCCATGCTGACCACAGCTGTGACCACGCTGAGCCCCCCTGGCCAGGAGGAGTCTGTGGGTGGCCCCATCAGCGAGGTCACCACAGAGGGTGGTGTGGCAGTGGAGCACAGCTCTGCCAGCCCCTCAGCAACCCCCCCCCTTCCTGGGACAACTGTGGAGGAGCAGGAGGGGGCAGAGAGCAGCTCACACCCCTCAGCTGTGCCCCAGCCCACGCTGAGCCCCAGCTCTCCCAGCTGGGAAACAGCGAGTGACCACCTTGTTATCCCAACTCCCCAGGCTCCTGGTGTGACCCCTGAGGTGGGAATGCTGAGACCCCGCACAGGGAGCCCTCTGAAATCCCTGGCTCCACCAGTGTCTGTGGCTGCCGAACGTCCCCTCGTGGTGACCGAGGCCTCCCTTCCCCCAGAAGCAGGGACAGGGGTCACACAAGGAGAGCTGCCCACCACAGCTGGCACTGTCACCATCCCCCCTGTGGACACTGTGCCACCTGACTGGGATGACACAAAGCTGGGGGACATCAGTCAAGGGGGAAGCACGTCTCATGAGGAGGTGACAGAGGACCTGGCGACGACAAAACCATCCCAGACCCCACAGGGAGGTGTGGGAGAGGAAGAGGACGCAACAAGAGCACTGCCATCCCCAGTGTCCCCTCCACCAGAGCCTGAGCTTGCTGAGGAGACCAACTGCACAGTGCCAGCACAAGGAGAGGAGCTGCCAGCAACTTCCACAGGCAGCAGTGGTGCTTCCCACACTGGAAATGTGACGGATGGAGACACGACTGATCTGGACTCGCTGGAAAACACAAGTGCAGTCACAGCAGAGGAGGAGAAAAGCATTCTGCCATCACAGTCAGAGGCTACTGTGGGGACAGAAACTCAGCCTGAGCTCTCCCCTACTCTGGAAAGTTCATGGGAAGGTAAAACTTGCTTGTTACAGACACTTGCCTCTAAGTGTAGGTTTAGGAGGGGGGCTCTTGGGAGTGTATGCTTCCTTTCAGGGAATTGGACTGGGAAAAGGTGTGACCTTGATACCTGCAATAGAGAGGGTGTATCTTTCCCCTCAGGAAAGGCTGTGGGGCTTTGTGTAGGGGTAAGAGCCTAAATGGGTAGTTCCCATCTATAATACACTGCAGAACCTTGGCTGTTTCTATACATGATTCCCTGTGCACAGCTGGGTGATCCCCTGTCCTGGCTGTGAGTGAAGCAGCTGAGTTGAGCTGCTCCTTCTGCTCCTCAAGCTGGGAGGGTGGTTGTAGGAACAAATAGGAAAACTGAGACTGGAAAGGCTGTGGCAGCCGAGCCTGAGGCTGAGGGACATGGAGTATTTGGGTATGGACTGCAGAGCTGGAATCTCATCAGTGGAGACTTGCTAATTGAAAAGCTTCCTTGTTAATGTTCTTTGGTTTTGGTGCTTGAGTGGGGACAGCTGTAGTTGCCTTGACTAGAGGTGGCTAAATTGTCACCCAATAACCCTCTGTTTCTGCCCCTTCTGTGGGTAGGGTGGGACCCCAGCTTCTGGCCCACTGGTTAAACACTTTATTTCAGGGGAGAAAACACTCCCCCAAGAATCCTTTTGATAGGAACCAAAGTACCCTTGCACTAGCTCACGCTGAAGCTCTGCAAATAATTCCTGGGGGGTTAAATTAAGTAGCATCTGGGATCACTTGGGTCTCACTTGCAGTCAGTGCAGAAGATGCAGAGACAATGGATGGCTGCAAATGCTTCCTAAATCTAGGAATAAGTGAGTTGTTCCAGTAGCCTCAGAGTACCTGACATCTTAAATGACTTTACAAGAACACTCAGTTCTAAAGGCCTGTCCAGAGAGCTGCTGTCCTGTATAACAGAAGCTCCTGGTGTTGTCTCCCTACCCTGGAGTGAAGCTGTGGCCAGGCTCTGGCTGCCCAGTGCTTGTGCCAACTCTGTCACCAGGCAGGAATCTTCCTCCTGGACAGCCTTCTGCAGGCCACCCTGTCCTGCATGGACCTGCAGAGGTGGCACCTTCAGCCTTGTGACAGTGTTTCTGCTCAACACCTAAAATATAAAGGAAAAGGTTTAAAATACAGGGAAATGCTAAAAAAAAAAAAAGCCCAGTGAGGTGTTGGGCAGTCAGATCTTTCTAGGCTGGTGAGGAAATATGAGCTGGGGCTTAGGACTTTGTAATTGCTGGGCATCTTTAATCTTCCCTCCCAGGCTACAGAGGCAGAAGGACTGTTTCCCTTTACTGCATCCAAAAGACCTAGTTTTTGCTGTAAAAGAAGAAAGGCTAATTGCAGCCTGGTGCTGAAACCTGACTGATTAATTTCTAGATTAATTTGTAAGCACTTGACCTGTCAGCAGGTTCCATCTCTGCTGCTTCCCAGCTGACGGGAAAACAACGCTGTCTGTCAATAAGACTTGTGCAACAAAAATAAACGCTTCTGCAAAGCTCAAGTCTCAGAGCTGTGAGGGCTGGTCACTCAAAGCCACCCTGATGATACTTGGCTGGACCTGCTTCTGGCACTGTGGCCCTGGAATTGTTAATCATTGAGTTATATTTCTTCAGATGTGTCCTCTGTTGCCGTCACGTGTCCTGTGAGTTGGTCCTGACGCGTGTTCTCGCTGTAGGTGTTGCTCAGGAGGTGACAACAGTTGCCCAGGAGGCTGATGCTGGTCTGTCAGTTGTGGCAGTGGGTCCTGGTGCTACCCAGGGAACAGGAGCTGCAAGCTTTCCCCAGGAGAACAGTGGGGAAGACACCCAGATGCTGACTGCTCCCAGTGCCACCGAGGTGCTGGTGGCAACTGGTGCTTCCTCTGCGGTGAACACTCTGGATGTTGAAGGTAAGATTCTGCTTCAAGGACTCATTTCCACATGAGGTGGGATGGGACATCTGAAACTAGTATCAGCATCCTTATTCTAAGTGACTTTTTTTTTTTGCTCTAACCTTCTGCAGGCCTCCTCTAGCCCTGGGCTGCCACTGCTTTCTGCCCATGCTGTGAGATCCACCACTTTGATATTTGACAGTATGGGGTTTTTTTGCCCCAAATAAGTGGAGGCAATTAAAAAAAATTGCCCCTAACCATACAAAACCCCCCTGTCTATCCTTGCTAGCAAGCTGCCTTTTAGCTTTAGACACTTAAGCCATTTTTTATTTATGGAGGGGGAACTCTTACTTCTGGAGCCCAAGGCAGTCACAGACTGCTGGTGCTCAGTCCAAAGGATGAAAATGTTTCATCAGGGTAACGCAGGAGCAGTGTGTGTGTGTGTGTGGGGGAAAGACACCTTCTTCTTGGAGTCTGGCAAGCCCTTGGGTGTGGAAGCCTGCATTGATATTCCCTTCTGCCGAGGAGTGGTGAGTTCTTGTCAAGTTGTAGCTCATACAGGAATGCTTTGGGCAGTCGTGTTCATCAGGCTGCTGCCTGCTGGCTCTGTGTCACCTCAGCAGGTACATGGAGGAGCCTGTCTTCCTGACAGGGGTGTAACAAGGGATCCCTCAGCACAAGGCTGGCTCCAGGCTGGAGTGTACTTCTGTAGCAGTAGGGACCACTGTAATGAAACTGCTGCTGGGCAGCTCTTATATTGCAGGGCCTCAAAAGGAAGAAAAAAAACACAAAAAGACACAACAAAACCTTTCTGCATTGTCTCTCTTAATTTAAGGTCCCTTTGTGGGAGGGAGAAGGTTCTTCTGGCAGTTTCCACTAATTAATTTGCTTCTGGGGTTTAATTATAGATTCAACTGACTTTTATCTTTGCAATAAACAATTAGATCTGTCACTTGGTTGAGATATCAACTGGTGTCCTCAAAGCAACGGAATTAAAACTTTCTTTGGGGGTTCCCTCCCTCATTAAGGGGAACCTCCTGTGCTGACTGTCCTTGAGGAGAAAGTTTCATTACAGCAGAGTCACATCTTGAAGGAAGCAAAAGCTTAATAACTTCCAGTCAGAGTTAAGTTTTCATTAAGGAGTTTGTTCTTAAATGGTAGGTTTTTAAATATTGCTGCTGTCTCCTGTCCTCTGTAGATCTCACGGATGGGATCGTGGTCACCAGTGAGAAGGCTGTCCCAGCTCCTGGTGGGATGCCTTCTACCCCATCTGGACAGACAGGGGAACCATCCAGCAGAACTGTGGTCCTGGTCACTCCAGCATCCATGGCCTCTTCTGCCAGGAGAACAGCCCTTCCCTCTGTGCGGAGGATCAGCACGGCCGTGACCTACGGGCTGGACCGCCTGGAGTCGGAAGGTACCCCTGAGGAAAAGGGTCAGGCAGCTGCCTGTGCAGGGGCTCCCCTGCCCTGACACTGAGCCCCCAGTTTGTCTGCTTGACACACTGCCATGTGCATGTCTAATTGTGCCCAATAAAGTTGTTGAACAACCTGTCCTCTCCCGGGAGGTACAGGAAGCAAGCAGTGAACAAGTGTCATGGAGGATGCCTGGAATTCCAGTGGCTGTGGTGGGAGGGATGGGATTTTCCCGTGGATAGGGAGCAGCAGTGCTATTGCTGTTGCAGTAGAATCTGGCTCTGCACACCTGTAATGCTGGAGTGTGCATCCACTGCAGAGCCTCTGGACCAGGTAACACCCACCCAGAGATGCTGAGGTGAAGTAGGTGCTGCTCTGGAGCTGCTCTGCAGCTCTGATCTGGTACCAGTTCAGCTCACCCACAGTTTTCCTGCAGAGAATTGTTTCTTGCTCTTTCTCCTACTTGAACTCCTCTCTGCTTGCTCATCCATCCAGTTTTGTACTTCAGTGTCTGGACTGATACCACCTGGCAGGAATTAATCTTTCTGCCTGTGTCTGCTCCCCTTCCTTTATCTTGACCTTCTCTTGGCTTCGTATTTTACTGCAAAGGTTGGCAGCCCTCCAGGGGTGGCACTGCCAGATGGTATTTCTCCTCTGAGTAGAGGTGGGGTGCCATAGACAACAGCTCATCAGCATCTTTCCTCTGCAGGAAGCAATAACTCTCACTCCTGTTAAGTTTGGAGGGCAGCAGAAGCTGGGAGTCCTCCCCATTGCCTTTGCAAGGCACTTGCTGCCTGCTTTGAAGCCTGCCCTGAGCTTTCTGTGACTCCAACTGCAGCACTTTTCCCTTGCCAGGATGAATCTTGCATGTATCTGGCAAGGCAAGGATGTGGTGCTGATGGGAGAGTGGCAGCAGGGGAAGGAAGGGTGTGTGTGTGGGGAAAACCTGATCTTTCAGGCTCTGCTTAGCAAGGGCAGCATGAATCAGGAGGCTAAAATGTTTTATAGCCCTCTGGGATCTCCTTTAGAAGCCTGGGTTTCTGCAGGGGAAGATAAGAGGGATTTCTGCTTCAGCTGAGCATTGGTCTCTCTATTTAATGAGACTTTCTGCACAGGCATTGAAAAAAAATCTTTCTGCTCCAATATAGGACTGATGCAACTTTCTTGGATTCCTTCTGGGTTCCTCTAAAGGGAAATGTGGGCTGTAGCTGGAACCAGCTCTCCTAGATGATGATTCAGTTGGAAGGCTGTGGGTTTCTTGGCTCTGGGGTCTGGCTCTGCAGGGGCCTGTCAGCCAAGGGACATGGTGCTCTCTGTGCTGTGGGGATTTGGCAGCTGGCACAGCTTTTGTGGTCTAAATCTCTTCTGCTCAACCTAGACCTTGGTGCAGTGAGCCAGAATTTTCCCTGGTGCTGGGGATCACCAATCCACATACTTTAAAATGGAACAATTACCACTTGGGGAAAAGCTTTTTCTGCCTGGGGATCCTGCTGCCCCCATTAAGCATGAAGAGGAGGCTTTTTTTTTTTTTTTTTTTTTGAGCTGCAACTTTGCTTTCTAACACCTCTTTGTATAATGGCAGTGAGGGGGTGCCACATCCTCATGGTGGAGTGGCATTTGGAAGCATGGTTCCCAAAATTACAGTTCCTAGTGTTTGCCCTCAGAATATCCAAATGCTGCCAGATCCAAGATGTTTGGGAGTGCATTCCTGTAAAGCTGCACTGAGCTCCAGCCCAGGGTGCTCAGGCTTTTGGGGGATGCTGTTCCAGGCATGTGCTTGGGTCCCTAATGAGGGATCTTGGCCCTCTTGGGAGAGGCTGTGCCTTGCTCACTGTTGGAAGAAGTGCAAGGAGCTGAGTGAGCTCTGCTGCCTTCAGTGGGGTCTTGCTGACTTGCCTCACTGAGGGCCTGGCTCATCATTAAATGTAACCCCCTGCTGCTCTGTTTCTTGGGGACCATCTGTGCCAAACTGCCTGGGGTTTAATTGCATTGGTATGTTCACCTGCCTGGCTTGGATGCAAAACTGTTTTAAAAATCAAATTGCACAGGCAGGTTGAGATGCTTTGAAAATATGTCTAGATGAACTTATCCTCCTCTCCAGTGGACTCTGGAGAGATGAGCTGGTTAACAAAGATCCTCCTGCCTTGACTCTGTGGTGAGACTGGTTCTACTTGCCCTTCCTAGTCAGAGAAATCCTATAAAGGGATTACAGGATATGGGGACAGGACGCAGCAGAGGATAAGGCTTTACTTGTCTGGGAGAACTGATTATATATTTTGTTTCTGTGCCTAGAATTTGTATGTCTCTCTAACAAGTTGAGCACTGCAGCTTTCTCTGGTTCGACTTGCCTACTTAGGACCAGCGTGTAAACTTCTCAACACACTTTGGAAAGAAATTAGATTCCTTTTGGACTCGATTCCTCTGCTGTAGGTCTTGGCAGAGGTGGCTGCACACCCTCAGCATGGCAGCACTGGGCAGGTATAACTCTCTAAAGAGGTGGGTCACCTGCCATGTTCCCTCTTCTGCAACATCCTTGCAGTTTTTAGTTGAAACCTTATGGGTAGAGCACAACAGAATCCGGCTCCTTTCAGCTGGTGCTCAAGTAGCTCCTGTAACTGTTCCACCTGGGATGTGACCCAGGGATGAGCTGAGGCTCAGCAGGTTGGTTAACACATTCTCCATGACAGCCTTGAGGGCCTTGTTATCCTTGAGTGCTAACCTTAAACCAGCAGTTAACCTAAACTAGGCAGTTGCCAAGGGTGATGGATCACTCACCCATCACAGCTGGGATCACAGCACCACTGTGGGGCCTGTTGCTGAGGGTGGGTCTGTCAGTCTGCACTGACAGACAAGGACAGGTTTGGTGCTCTTGTGAGCCACCACCCTGCCTGACAGCAAAGAATCGTGGAACCACAGAATGGCTTGGGTTGGAAGGGACCTTAAAAAACCACCTTGTTCCAACCCCCCTGCCATGGGCAGGGACACCTTCCCCTGGACACTTCCAGGGATGGCACATCTTTAAGCTGCTGCTGGGGGTGAGCTTCTTGCACAGTTCAGGTATCTGGTGGGCTGCTGGGTGTGGAGGGTGCTTAGAGAGCTTTGATAAAAGCAGGAGATGCTCTGCCTCTCTTACGGTGTCGGGAGCAGTCAGTAACTGAATCCAGGAAACTTAAATTCAGTTACTCTAGAGGAGGAGATTTAACCATGTAGCTCTTGAATGTGGAGTGTTTCCAGTTAATCAGGCTGGCTCTCAACAGGCAGCTGGCAGAGTTTGGAGTTTCATGTGCATTTACAGCCCACTGTGAACTATTTTGTCTATCACAGAACAGTTTAGGCTGGAAAATTCCTCCAAGATCATGGAGCCTGACCTCTGACCCAACATCACCATTTCAACTAGACCAGAGCACAAAGGCCACACTCAGTTGTTTCTTGAAGGTCTCCAGGGACAGTCACTCCAGCAGCTCCTTGGGCAACCTGTTCCAGTGCTTGACCACCCTTTCAGTGAAGAAATTCTTCCTGATCTCCAGCTGAACACTGATCTTTAGGATAGAGGGGTTGAAAGGACAGTGTCAGATGTCTGCCTGGTTGGCTGGTGTGTCCCCACCTGATGCAGCATTTGGCTGTGGAGAAGCCCCTCAGGGATGCTGGGACATGGCTGGCACTGCCCTGGGGATCAGAAATCCAGTATCCTGCAGTTATGGGGCACCTCTTCTCTGACCCTTGGCTGTGTTGGCTTCATCTGCTGTGCTAAAGGCTGTTCCAGAGCAGTGCCAGGGTGAAGCTTTAGACTTTGTGACCTTGACATTTTCATGAGATTTTAAAAATATCCACTTGTCTTTGGGTTTTAACAGTTCCTATCACTCTTTGCTGACCTGTGTACTCAAGTTTACCCTTCCAAGGAAGCTGTAGTTTAGCCAGTTCTGGTAAAAAGAGTTCTCCTAGTCCTTTTCTCCACTCTCTGCCTCTTTCCTCTGCTTCCCCTGCACCTTGTTCTTCTCACACCCAGTCATCTGAGCTGTGTTGTACTTCAGAAGTAAAGACAGTGGTTACCATTTTTCAGAAAGTATTTCAGAGCTTGTAGCCATTTACATAAATTTATAAACCCCCCTTACATTTTTCTTCTGAGCTGTGTCACAGTAAAAGGACCTTTTTTTTTTTTTTTTTTTTTTTTTTGAATAAGAAGACTATTTTTGCTGGAAGTTGAGGCTCTGAAGGGGACTGTTATTTGGACCCTGACTGTATGGATTAAGATCTGCCTCATTAAATCTCTGCAACCCTGTTAAAAATTTAAATTAGGATGCAGAGGTGTAAATAAAACAGGCACTTAACCCAGCATGGTTAACTAGCCTGATATTATAATTTCTCACCAGCTCCTTGGATATCAGCTAAATTGGCAGGGAATGGAAGATTTAAAACAAAGCACATGCAGCATGAATTATTAAATGTTTTCTGTACAGACTTTTGTCTTGCCTCTTGTTTATTGCTACCACTGAAGTAGGAACTGCTCTCTCTCTCTGGTGCAAGTTGACCTCTATCTTCCTCACAGTAGGTGGTGGTTCATCCCTCATTCTCCTTTAAAGAAGAAAATGGTAAAAAAAAAAAAAAGTGACAATTTTGCATCACACCTAAGCTGTCCTTTCTTTCTTTCTTCTCCTGTGAGTGTTTGACCAAAGATGCCTACTCTGCTGCTAAATGTGGTGGTGACTTATTCTGTTTCCTGAAATCCCTCTGCGAGCTGAGGAGGGAGGGGTGTGGAGGGTGATCAGGCCCTTAATGAGTTGGGAGCTTGGGGGGTGAACAGCTAAGAGGGTGTTGGGCTAATTAAAGGCTCGCAGGGAAGAAGAGGAGGGAGGGAACTCCAGCTGTGTGCAGCTGCTGTGCTGGGCTCAGCCTTGGCAGTGGGCTGAGCATGGTCACCCTGCTCTGCCTCAGAGGCCCTGGCACCTCTGATGAAACCCAAACCACAGGATCACTCAGGGCCTGACTGTGCCAAGGGATGCTC